TTGGACCTGGGGAGACAAATCAGGGGGACTTGTATGGCTGAGACCTAAATCTTTTACCGATGGCGCTCGTTATTTCATTATCCTCAGTTATTATGGAGGGAAGTTTTTGTGGGCCAAAGATCAGGAGATGGCATTATTCGGGTGAAGAGGGCATCTGCCATTGACTACTCCATTCGCTGAGTTTTCTGAGGTCAGTTCAATTGTTCTGCGAATATTGGCTACTGTTTTCCCGTTATATGCATATGAGAGTTTAAGGTCGTCCGCATATAAAAACGTCTTAGCTGATACTGCTATGGACGATAAGTCGTGGATATATATGAGAAATAGACCGGGGCCTAGGAGAGTGCGTTAAAGTACTCCACTGGTAATAGAGGATAGTTCTGAGACTACGTTTCGAATTCGCACCGCTTAAAATCGGTTTTTAAGATAGGATTTAAGAAAATCGAGAAGGGGAGGCCTAACTCCATGACTTTTTAGCTTTATTAGTAGTCTTTTATGGGGGAGTTTGTTAAAGGCCTTCTTTAGTACCGTATACACAGCGAAATCTGTCTTAGCTTATACGCATGACTTAATTGGCAAAGAACGCTACACATATAGACACCGTAGTCATTTGCACGCCGTGTCCAACTGACGATGATATACAGAAGAGGTACCCCTCTGGCACATCGTTATCCACGCTCTGCTATTTTTGCTCTTCTATTTCGCCGACTGACACAGAGAAGCCCTCCTCTAAGGAAGCAATGAGTTAGACAACTTGGCCTCGTACATGACCCTCCAAGCGCCTTCAGCGACTCAGAAAACAAAAGAAGAACCACGTATAAGTTATCTGCTGCGTAAGTGGATAATACGACCATAAAGGCCGCTTATGCATCTGAACAGTCTTCCGAAAATTCTCTGCTTCATCCGTGGGGACAACTTTCTAATGCACGAACACCGATGTTTAGGGCAACCAGTTATTCATTTGTGACGGCACTGGGCACTAGCGAGAACGCTAATTTAGGGTCGATAAAGCAATTAAACGACCAAATATGTATTTCTTCCCGGCTGCATACACATGTGCATGCTTTTTCAGTCTCAGTCTGTAAATAGGATTTTCAAAGGCTTTGCTAACCTCCCTTATATATACTGAATTAAAGCTCTGAGGGGAAGTTATTGTGGGCCAAAAATCAGTAGGTGGCATTTTGCCATCTGCTTCCCCATTCGCCAAGTTTTGTTTTTGAGATTGGCTTGGACTGTGCCGGGCATATTGCTACTGCATACTCTTTATATTGCATATACGGGGTTTACGTCGTCTGCATATAAAACGATTTGGCTGAGAATGATATGGACGATATGTAGTGAAAAGAAGCGAACAGGCGAATTCCACGCAGCAGTTCAGAAAACGAAGATGCAAACACTGAAACAAGAAATTTATTGGCCTGACGTTTCGGACTTTCACTCGAATCCATCATCAGAGACATTCGCGGATAAAGGCGATGGTGACACAAGGGGTGCAGTATATATAGCACGTGGCTGCCGTGGGACCTTATGCGCACTGCAATTAACAGTTCTCGCAATCACCATTGTGGTCGTAATTGATGCGGTGGTGGCTTGTCAGTCCGAGTCCGAGTCATTAATTGCCGTGATTTCGTCATCCGTGCTGGATGCTGGTGTGACAGTTGCTCGGCAAATTGACTCACTGTCACTGTGATACTTGCTCGCCCGCGCCCTCCCCACGTGACTGATTCTCCTGCCCAGGGAAAATCGCAATACGGAATAGGCCACCGGGAGGTCATTGTGCTTGTTGATGGATTGCGGGTCTGAGAACCATGACTTGAGCAGCTCGCGGCTCACGCGGTTGTCTTCTGAACTGCTACCTGGAACTCGCCTGTTCGGTTCTATCAGCAATCTTTTTGGGCGCGAAGCGCTCTGATCGGCTTGACGGTGGGAAACCTTTGCCCTTCGAGAGTCGTCTACATACGCGCAGATTCGATTTCTGCACAGGTATCTCGACAACAATGTGCTGCCAAAGTGTGTTTCATACAAACCTCCGGTCAACACCGAGCTGGCGAGACGCGCAGTACTTCAGCATGGCCGACGAATGATCCGAGTGCTCCTTCTAGACTGTCACTTATGGATTCGCAAATACCGTCAGAGGATTGACCAAGAGAAAGCAAGGTGCTGTGAGTTCATGGGCGGGGACGGCACAAAACTGCTTCAGCAGAGGCTGGCCGAACGAACCCGCAAACATAAAGCAACACGCGAAGCAGTCCTAGAGAGCAAATTTCATAAACTGCCTGCTCCAATGTCATCCAAGAACGACAAAATAGTGCACAACTTGTCGTCAAAGGAGCTGACGGAGGAATAAATGCAGGTTTTACGGCATGAAGCCTCATTCAACACAGCCGATGCCAAACCTGCCAACATGATCGCAGCAGTGGAATCAATCCTCAGCCAGACGGGAGCGACAGACGAAACGAAGAGCTTCATTCGACACCAAGTGTCCTCTCTCCTCATGACTCATAGGCCGCGCGACGTGCTTTCCAAGGTCGAGCGCTATGCACATAAGGAACGCAGGGCCGACAACGACCTCGTTATCGTGCCTGCGGACAAGGGGCGTTCAACGGTCGTATTGGACAGGACAGACAACAATCAAAAAGCCAAAAGCTTGCTGGATGATCGTCAGTCCTATGTCCATGCAATTCCAACCCCATAAAAACGCGGACACGCGAGATTAACGCGACGCTGATGGCAATAAAGAACTCAGATGCAATATCGACAATCGACCGACGCATGGCGAGAGCCCAAGAAACGGCCCTAGCCCGATTCTACGGTCCCCCAAAAGTGCACAAAGAGGGTGCTCCTCTCTGACCTATCGTATCGCTAAATGGCACTCCAAACTACGGACTGGCAAAGTGGCTGTTCGAACGTTTCAAGTTTCTGGCCTCCGATTCGAACACCACAGTCAGCTCTTCAACGCAATTCTTGGAGAAACTTAAAGGACTAGGTCTCCTGAAAGGCGATGTCATGGTTTCCTTTGATGTCACGTCCCTTTTTACTTCTATTCCGCAGAACCTGACAGTCGAGACCATCGAAGTACCCCTACGAGAGAAATACGACGAAACGGAGAACCGCCTCGACACGTCCAAATCATCCATCTCATGAAGTTCTGTCTCAAGACGTACTTTACGTTCGACAGAACAATCTACGAGCAGGTAAAGGGAACGCCAATGGGTTTGCCGATTTCGGGACTCATAGTCGAGGCGGTCTTACAACGGCTGGAGTCGCTGGTTTTCCGACACCACAGACCGAAATTCTGGGCTCGATATGTGGATAAAAACTTCGTCGTCATCGAATGGGATCAGGTGCTGACATTCAAAGAAGAACTTAACGCCGTCTTCCCGGACATTCAATTTACGATAAAGGAGGAGGACAACAATCAGCTGGCTTTCCTGGATGTCCTCGTCTGCCGCAAAGATTGTGATGGTCTAAACACCAAAATGATCAGGAAAGTGACAAATACGACGCAAATAATGAACTTCAATAGCAACCACCCGATCAGTCACAAACGCAGTTGCGTAATGGCGCTATACCGGCGCGTTGAGACGTACTGCAGTGAAATGGAAGACAAGGTTGCTGAACTACAATATCTTCGACGGGTAATGAGAGCCAATGTTTACCCGCGCAACTTTTTCAACCAGTGCATACGAAAAGAACACCAGAGACCAAATCCAACCGCCCCCAAATGTTGGCGGGTTCTTCCGTACGTGAAGAACTTCTCGGAAGCCGTTAGTCGTCTTCTCACTCCACTTGGATTGGGGGTGCACACAGGCCGGAAGCAACCATTAGGCGCCAAGTCATGAGGCCAAAAGACCCGCTGCCGCGGCAGGAAACGTCTGGAGTCGTTTACCGGATCTGGTGTAGTTGCGGACAAAGCTATTATGTCGGAGAAACTGGCAGATTACTCCGTAACGGACTTGCCGAGCACGCAGCAGCAGTGAGGGGGGAGATGCTAACTCTCAGGTGGCGGCACATTCGACGGTACCCGGCCATATTTTCAAATTTCAAGGGACCGAAATCCTCGCAAGGGGTGACAAACGCGTGAGCTGCGAGCTGCTCAAGTCATGGTTCTCAGACCCGCAATCCATCAACAAGCACAATGACCTCCCGGTGGCCTATTCCGTATTGCGATTTTCCCTGGGCAGGAGAATCAGTCACGTGGGGAGGGCGCGGGCGAGCAAGTATCACAGTGACAGTGAGTCAATTTGCCGAGCAACTGTCACACCAGCATCCAGCACGGATGACGAAATCACGGCAATTAATGACTCGGACTCGGACTGACAAGCCACCACCGCATCAATTACGACCACAATGGTGATTGCGAGAACTGTTAATTGCAGTGCGCATAAGGTCCCACGGCAGCCACGTGCTATATATACTGCACCCCTTGTGTCACCATCGCCTTTATCCGCGAATGTCTCTGATGATGGATTCGAGTGAAAGTCCGAAACGTCAGGCCAATAAATTTCTTATTCCAGTGATCGCATCTTCGTCTTCTATGTAGTGAATATATATGAGGAATAGATGGGTATCTAGAACGGCGCTCCGAAATACTCCACTATTTATATGGGATGGTTCTGACAAAACGTTTAAAACCAGTTCCACTTAATATCGTTTTTGGGGATCTGATTCGAGAAATTCGAGAAGGGATTGTCTTATTCCATGACTTATTTGCTTTATCAGTATTCTTTTTAGGGGACATTGTCAAAGGCCTATTCACATTGAAGTATACTGTAGCTACCGTGTTCCCATCATTTCTATTGTTGGAAGCGAATTACTGGAAAGTGAGGTGACAAGACTGACAACTGTTTAGGTAAAAAAACATGTTGAGAGAAACGTATGAGGTTTACGTTTGTCATATATTCTAGGAATTAGTTTTAAACTATTTTTCGAGGATTTTAGCTATTGGCGTCTTTCAGAGAATACCAAGATAACTTTGGGTGTCAGATCGCTTTTCGTTTTTAAAGAGTGGTGCAAAGCTCGAATATTCCCAATGTCTGAAAAAAATTTGTTGGTGCTCCAGGCACTGGTTCGCCAGTTTCTGTGCGATAGATTTGCAAGTGGCCGACCAGGCCGATGTGTGAGGTGAAGGTGTGATCGCAATGAGCACAGGCATGGATCGATTCCACATCGCTGGCGTTGTGGGTGGAAGGTTGATGTTCGCTGGTGTCAGGGTTGTGTGCAGCGGTGGTAGTTACAAGAGCCGCCGTAGCGGATGTTGAGGCAATAGTGGAGGAGGATGATAATGGCAGTTCGGGAGGGCGGTCATTGTTAGTTGTCGGCATGGAGGATGAGGCAGAGTTGGACAAGAAGACCGCAGATGGTGTAGCCCGGATGCTGCAGTTGGTACGAAGATATCCTACAAGGCTGATTTGTGCCCGGAACATCCGTTGGCAGCGTAGGTCGAGGGTGGTTGGGCGTTGGCGTCGCGAGGTGGGCAAACTTGGGATTTGCGAGCCTCGCCTTTGGTTTTGGCGGCGGTTATGCGGTTGGCTTCGAAGATCACTGCGCCTATCTTCACTGTGCTCTGCCATGTCGGTCGGTCTCGAGCGAGATTTCTCAACTGACCGGGTTGAACTACAGACGTTTCAGAGAAGTCTTCAGAGTGTCCTTGTATTGACGGACTTGGCCTCCATGTTGGCGGAACTCGTGGCGACATCCCCGTAGAAGAGTCAGTTGGGTAGGCTCTCTTAGTCCATGCACTCGAGGTCGCCGCTCCAGCACAGTTGCAGTTGTCTCTCTCTCTCTCTCTCTCACACACACACACACAGTCAAACGGATTACCTAGTGTAGCATCTCGGTGATGTAAAAGTGGACATAGTCGTTAAACACCATGCGAGACATGTAATAATAATAATTTTTTTAAACACCCTTCGGGGTTCCATCAACGTAAGTAAAAATAAATTTACATAAGAATTTTAGACGAGACAGGCATAATCTCTTCAAAAAGGCAAATCATAGTTTCTGAATTTGTAGTCCATTAAGAAAAATGATGAGCGAGCGGTAAAAAAACTCCACTTAAACATTTAAAAACGACTTGATTAACTTTACAGGATAAAAAACCCTCGCTAATAATAACACAAAAATGAGGGCAGGACTGGCCTGCATGTGGCGGTATATAACGGATTATAATCGGGCATCGTCAGGGCAGAAATAAATGTCAGCCTTGAGGGGTACGTATGCGGGTCGGACAGGACTGGCCTGCATGTGGCATTGTATACGGGATTCAGAACGGACATCGTCAGGGCAGGATTGGTAGACCGGATAAGACTATTCGCGTCAAATAGGCCAGACGAGAGGAACCCCGACGCGATCGGCCACAGTACTCATCGAGCCCAGCCGAGGAGTGGGGAAGGGGAGTACGACCAAATTAATAGTAGACGGCAAGTACTGAGGGTTCCGCCATCAGCGTCGACAAACCGCTTGAGGTCGAAATGCAGGAAATGACATCACGAACCGCGAAAATCGTCGCTGTATGTGGTGTTGAGTCAAAGCTTCGAAACGGGCATCATCAAGGAAGAATTCATATGCCGGATGAGGCCATTCATGTCAAAGCGGCGAATTGAACACCAGTCTCGAGGTGATAGGAACCCAGGTTCGATCGATTACATTCAGCCGAATGCAGCCGAGGAGGGGGCAAGGGGGATGCAACCAGACTACTAGTGTGTGGTAAATACAGAAGGCTCCGCTAAGAGCGTCGATAGAGTGAATTCTTTGAGGGCACAATGCATGAACTGAAAAATCGAAAAATTAGCATTTCTGATGAGGGATCCCAGGAAGCGATACGACTCACAAAGGAAGGAAAGGTGAGCAGATACGGAAAATTGATGGCGCCGTCCTAAATTCCTGGAGGCCCTTTCTCTGTGTCATAGAGAAGGTTATCCGGGAAGGATGAGAAAAATAAAAGTTTATTCGAGTCAGTATTCAGATAAAGGCGTAGACTTCTCTTAAAGGTGTGTAGATTTTCTGAAGATCTTATATTTATTGGAAGGTTATTCCAGGGGAAAGTATATCTGGAAGCGAAAAAATGAGCGCTTATATGTGAAGGAAGCTGGAGGAGGTATAATCAAGGGCGAGCTGCGAAGATTGTATGGGCGACTAGTAGGGGTGAGTGCTGAAATCCGAGGAAGATCTGAATTATTATTAATGCGAAAGAGGAGACAGAAGCCTGCTTCTAGTCTTCGAACTCATAAAAAGTTTAGGTTAATTGGCTGGCATCTATCTGAGTAGGAGATATTTGGATGTTCCCTATCTAAAAGTTTTTTAGAAAACCGTCCTTGGACATTGTCAATTTTTAAACGACTGGCTTTATTCATCAACCCAAAGAATGGGCAGCAATACTCGAGAATGGGAAGTACAAACATACGATAGAGTCTAAATCTAATTTCAGGAAGATATAAATTGTAAGAAATAAAGTCACAAATATGGGCAGCTATGGCTGTAATTCTGTCAGCCTGTGGCGAGAGATCAAGATTGTTAGTGTGGCTTAAACCTCAATCCTTGATGGTGGTACATTCAGTCATAGGTGTGCCTTGAAAGACGACTGGTTGGGGTAGCCTCACAGGTCCAAAACACATATAGTGACATTGAGACGGAGAGAATTCCATTAGACATTTTGAGCTCTAAGCTGAGAGAGCAAGTAAGTCAGCATGGATTTGCTCCAGGCAATGAAGGCTCGTAGATTTATTGAAAGAATATACACATTTGACATCATCAGCATAAGCCAATGATTGGGAATGCTTAGCTGCCGCCAAGATATCATTTATGTAAAGCGTGAACAAAGGAGGACCTAAAACAGGGCCTTGTAAGACACCACTTACAATAGGGTTTTCACTGGAAAGTGAAGATCCCACCAAAACCCTATGTTTACGATTAGACAGGTATGGCCTGATACAGTCTGTTAGGGGACTGCGAAATTCCAGAGCTTCTAATTTAACTAAGAGTCTTTTATGTGACACTTTATCAAAGGCTTTACTAAGATCAAAATAAATAACGGCAACAGATAGATGGTCATTACGAAGAAAGTTAAGTAGATTAAGAAACGACAAATGACATGTTTCAGAAGAGCGATCTGGTAAAAAACCATGCTGGGAAGGGCTAATAACTTGATTGGCTTTGTAAAAAACGGTGATTTTCAAGGCGAAAATTTTTTCTAAGGTTTTGGTGAGAGAGGGTGCTTTATGGACACCTCGATAGTTCTGAACGTCAGAACGACAGCAAAACTTAAATTCTGGAATAATAATAATAATAGAAGTTTTCCAACAGTCAGGAAATAAGCCATTTATGAGAAATACTGAAAAGAGTTTGCTAAATAGAGGAGGAAAATCTCTTAACTGTCTTATAAGAGAATTTGTGATATTGTCCGTACCTACTGACTGACAGTTAGTAAGATGGTTTGTAAATTTTTGAATAGTTTTGGGATAAAAATTAATGATGCTGAGAGAGAGGCATCAGACAACTGAGGAATTAAAGGGGCTAGGCCAGTTTTAATGGTAAAATGTTTGGCAATGAATAAATTTAACATTTCTGCTTTGCTTGACTCGTCTGTAATGAAGGCATCGTTGGTACTAAGCGAAGGCGGAATGACTTGATGGGATTTGGCAGATGATGTTTGACGGAAAATCTGAGCAACTGATTTAGAAGCATTCACGACATTACTAGCTAAAGACTCTACGCCTATCTCGTGCGAGCCTCATTTTCGAAGCTAATTCAACTATTTCAACGATTCTTAGATGAACTGATAATGAGCCCACAGAAAAATATTTAAGCTGTTTCCGTAGCTTTTTAAGCCTGTTTTTAGTGTATATCGGGATACACTAGGAAAAGGGCTTTACAGTGTATGAAGTCCGTGTTGCGATAAACAAATGGGTGGAGTAGTAAAGGTAGAAAATAGCGAATACAGAAAAATAGCCATGCAATGTGCAAATGGTACATTTCGGGGTCTGGATTGAAAGATATCGGAGTCTGGGTTGTAGACAGCCTAAAGCCTTCTACACGATCTTGTAAGGCGGCTAAGTTCGCAACTTCAGTGCTATACGCCATCAAGCGGTCATTCAGAGTTTGCGATGAAGAATGCTTCTCCAAAGTCTTCGGCACGTTTGTAAGGCCTCATCTCGAATATGCAATTCAGGCCTGAAGACGGTTGAGGTATCTGGAGTACAATCTACTCGAAACGGTGCAGTGGCGAACAAAAAAAGTTGATAAATTTTCATTTGGGGTCTTTTTTCACACCTCGCTTATCATTTTTCTGAACGGACTTCTAATTCAAAAACTATGTATTTCACTTTGTACAGATTTTGCCTACCTCGTCTAAAATTCGCATGTAAATTCATTTTTACTTGCTTTGATGGGATCCCGACGGGTCTTTAATAATAATAATAGTAATAATTATAATTATAATAATAATAATTATTATTATAAGAGGTCAAGGTGCACTTCCATACGAGATTAACCTAAATAACCTTAATCTCTATCCTCTGAGTTATAGGCAGTTGTGCGGAGACTTGATACCAACTTTCTGTATCGTGCGTGGCTTGGACTGCGCCCTCCGGTGCGACGTCTTTTTCCAACTCGCCACTACAACCAACCTCCGGGCACATAACTTAAGACGTCGCGTACCCCAAGGCAGATTGAATGTGAGAAAGAATTTTTCCCCAATCGTGTTGGACGACTACCGACTGTAACTGTTGGAGGTCCGCCTCAACGATGAATCCCGAAATCGCTGGTCTTCTAACACAACAGACCGAAGTTCTAGCCCCGGTATATGGAGTATACCTTCGTCGTTATCGACCGGGATCAACTGCTGACATTCAAGGAACATCTGAATGCGCTCTTTCCGGACATCCAATTTACGATGGAGGAGGAAGACAACAACCAGCCGGCCTTCCTGGATGTCCTCGTATGTCGGAATGATTGTGGTGGACTAAAGACCAAAGTATTCAGGAGGGCGAAAAATACGATGCAATTACTGCACTTCAACATCAACCACTCAATCAGCCACAAACGCAGTTGTGTAAGGACGCTCTATCGGCGTGTCGAAACGCAATGCAGTGAACCGGAAGACAAGATTATCGAACTACAATACCTTCGACGGGCCATCAAAGCCAATGGCTATCCGCGCAACTTCTTCAACCGGTTCATACACAAAATGGGACGGAAGGCCTAACCGCACAGACACCAAATTTTAACGAGCGCTTTCGTATGTCAAGAACGCTTCGGAAACTATCGGCCGCCTTCTGGAACCACTTGGGGTTGGAGTTGCACACGGACCGGAGGCAACCATCAAACGTCGGGCAAGGAAGCCGAAAGATCCGCTGCCACGGCAAGAAACGTCTAGAGTCGTTTATTGGATCTGGTGCAGTTTCGGACAAAGCAACAACGTCAGAGAAACCGAAAGACAGCTCCGAACGCAAATGGCCAAACACGCAGCAGCAGTACGGAGAAATGACGCCAGCTCTCAAGTTGCGGCTCATTCGACGAGATCCGGCCACACATTCCTCGCAAGGGGTGAAAACCGCGTGGACCGGGAGCACCTTCAGTCATGGTTTGCTGGCGTTCAGTCCATTAACAAGTTCAATGACCTTCCCCTTCCATACTCAGTGCTGAGACTTCGCCTAGACGGAGTAATTAGCCACGCGGGGGGCGCACAGGTGAACATTTTTCCCAACAACAGGGTCGATGCGTCAGATGGTCGAGCAATCATTATACCAATATCCAACGCACGTGATGAAATTGCGGCAATGAACGACGCGAATGTCGGCCATCAAGCAATTAGCACACCAAGTGCAACGATCACTGATGAAGGGGGGGGGAGAGTTGTGAAAAATCACAGGTATGTGGTAGCATGTCGACTGCATCCCTTGAATACTGCAGCCCCTTGTGCATAAACGACCAGTATTCGTTTTTGTCGCTGATGATGGGTTCGAGCAGAAATCCGAAACGTCAGGCTAATAAAGCTCTTGTCCCAGCGATCGTGTCTTTTTCTTCAAGACTGCTTTCTGGGACTCGTCTCTTTGCTTCTATTGACAGACATATGCTGCAGCAATAAGCGGATTATGTGACCTTGTAACCGTACAAGCAGTGACCTACGTCAATCGATGTCTGTATCCACTTAATGTTACGGACGAACTGACGGCGAGAGAGAGAGAGGGGGGAGCGATGGCAGCGATAGGGTAACAAGGAACACCGGTCAACTCTACTGGCAGACCCATCCAGTATCGGCGCTAATAGTGACCTCAGCTCTTTCAAGCAACCCTATTGGATCGGTGGTGCATTACAGTGTGAGTAACGTAATCGGGGGTACGTGATCATCCTGAAACATGAAGAGTTTTCGCTGGCTCCATCAATAATTTATTAAAACTAATATTTCTTGTTAGTCAGTTTCAAGCCCCGTTCTGATGTCCACCGGCGATATCGATAAGCATTTGCAGGCACTGCTCCCAAGTGTATGAAGACTCAAATTTCACGACGTCAACATCTGCGCTTTTGCTAACAGCTGCAATCTTTCGGATAAGTTTCAACAGTCTAGGTTCCCAGAACAACCCACCGAGAAGTATTAATTTATTTCTGCTGACGTTTTAACGGTCATTTCCACGGGGATATCGGCAATCTCCGAATGTTTGGGACTTTTATCGCTGGTTGATTTTATGTAAGCATCGCATCATTTTAGATAAACTTGCGCGTGCGATAGTTACGTTGGCTACTTCGTTCCTCATGTAGATTCTATGCCGACCAATTTTTTTTCCTGCATTGCAAACGCTCAGCTCTGAAGGACTCTCTGGGTCTCTAGGTGAAAATGTCTTGGTCTAGCATATCATTTTCCTACCTCTCTTGCCCGTGTATCCGGTTATCGTTTCTATTCGCTGACCGACCATACTCTATTGCTTCAACTCCCTATGAGCCTATTCAAATGCTTGTAGAAAGGTCTCTTAAATATTCAGGCAACGGAATAATAACAACTTTTCATCAGTTTGAACAACTTCAGTGACGGATATCCGGTAATGCTGGTTGGACGGGGTGTTCAACGTAGCCGAAATACTTCAGCTGCTCTGGCATCACGATGCTCCCTACGGCTAAGGGTGAGTATGCACTTTATATTTAACATTCTACTATAAATTGCACATTTTTTGATGATAACTTGTTAAATGCATTTTAGCTCGCGAGTGGCAACAGCTGCAATCCAAAAAGTATGCGGAGAAGGCAAAATTCGGTTTTGTTGACACACAGAAGGAGGATATGCCTCCAGAACATGTCCGCAAAATCATACGAGATCACGGAGACATGACGAACAGAAAGTTTCGTCACGATAAACGAGTCTATCTGGGTGCCCTCAAGTATATGCCGCATGCAATTCTGAAATTGCTCGAAAATATGCCCATGCCTTGGGAACAGATCCGCGACGTCAAGGTAACTTTTGATATTCTGTAATATGTTCAAGGTTCTTTATCACATAACGGGTGCGATCACTTTTGTCAATGAAATTCCATGGGTCGTCGAACCTATATACATTGCTCAGTGGAGCTCCATGTGGATCATGATGCGCCGCGAAAAACGAGATCGGCGTCACTTTAAAAGAATGCGGTTCCCGCCTTTCGACGACGAAGAGCCCCCTCTTGATTATGCTGACAACATCCTTGATGTTGAGCCCCTAGAGCCCATACAAATGGACCTTGATCCGGAAGAAGATGGTGCGATTGCAGAGTGGTTTTATGATCGCAATCCTCTTGTCGAAACACCGTGAGATTCCTTCCTGCTATTTTCCTTGTTCACTAAAATACTTAGTCTTTTGTGTTCGTTCGCACAAAGTTCCTTGTCATTCAAAGCACATTTATGGTATTCTGATAAGAGACCAAAACTTGCACGTCTTATGTTTCCTACTAAGATCTTCTTTTCCTTTCTAGATACGTAAATGGTACCACGTACAGACGTTGGAATCTCCCTCTCCCTATCATGTCTAACCTCTACCGCCTCGCTAACTGTCTGTTGACTGATCTGGTGGACGACAACTATTTTTATCTGTTTGATCTAAAGTCATTTTTTACATCCAAAGCCTTAAATGTGGCTATCCCTGGTGGGCCTAAGTTCGAGCCTCTCGTGAAGGATAAAAATCTTGAGTAAGTCTTCAGTTTAATGATCGAGTTTTCTCAGTGATGAGGATTGGAATGAATTTAACGATATAAACAAGATCATCATTCGCCAGCCTATCAGGACGGAGTACCGAATCGCCTTTCCGTACCTGTACAATAGCTACCCTTTCCAAGTGCACTTGTCGTGGTATCATTACCCTAATGTCCTATTCATTAAAACGGAGGACCCCGACCTTCCGGCATTTTATTTTGATCCGTTGATCAACCCGATTTCCCAGCGCCACGCCGTCAAAGTGAGTCGATTGCCCGTCAGTTCTACTTTTAAGGTCCCCGAAGCCCATATAGATGAGGATCCCGACGAGGATTTCAGCCTGCCAGAGGACTTCCGTTCGTTTATGAGTGACACTCCCCTCTACACTGATAACACGGCTAATGGAATAGCACTGTTATGGGCACCTAGGCCATTCAACCTCCGATCCGGCAACAGTCGTAGAGCTTTAGATGTTCCTCTTGTTCAAAGCTGGTATCTTGAACACTGCCCTTCAGGAATGCCGGTTAAGGTAAGTCTTCCAATTCGACACCATGACTTCGTTTCTAGGTTCGAGTTTCGTACCAAAAACTCCTCAAATACTTCGTTTTAAACGCCTTGCACCACCGAAAGCCAAAACCTATGAAGAAAAGATACCTGTTTCGATCGTTCAAGTCGACTAAATTCTTTCAAACCACCACTCTTGATTGGGTGGAAGTGGGTCTCCAAGTCTGTCGTCAGGGCTACAATATGCTGAATCTTCTAATTCATCGGAAAAACCTCAACTACTTGCATTTGGATTATAACTTTAACTTGAAGCCAGTGAAAACTCTTACTACAAAGGAACGTAAGAAGTCACGCTTCGGTAACGCCTTTCACTTGTGCCGAGAGATACTTCGTTTGACAAAACTCGTCGTGGACAGCCATGTACAGTATCGTCTGGGAAACGTTGATGCCTATCAGGTGAGAGCTTACTTCCATAGGCCCTTAATTTACTTCTGGAAATTAATGATGAGACCGCAGGGGTCCAGAAGGTAGTTAGTATGTGAACTACCCAGCTGCTCACCGGTGGCTCTTAGAGCACCAACTGAGAGCTGTGAAACTGCCTTAACTGACTTCGCTTATACTTGTATCAACTTTTGTTTTTTATTCCAAAAGCTTATCAGGGTTACGTGTTTTATTTTTAGTTGGCTGACGGTTTGCAGTACATCTTTTCCCACGTTGGTCAACTGACAGGGATGTACCGTTATAAGTACAAACTCATGCGACAGATCCGCATGTGCAAGGACCTCAAACATCTGCTTTATTACCGCTTCAACACTGGCCCGGTCACCAAGGGTCCTGGTGTCGGAATGTGGGCTCCCGGTTGGCGTGTCTGGTTGTTTTTCATGCGCGGTATTACACCCCTTCTGGAGCGTTGGCTTGGTAATTTGCTTTCCCGCCAATTTGAGGGTCGGCACTCAAAGGGTGTTGCAAAGACGGTGACCAAACAGCGCGTTGAGTCTCACTACGACCTGGAGCTTCGCGCTGCAGTCATGCATGACATTATCGATATGATGCCCGAGGGCATCAAGCAAAACAAGGCTAGAACTATTCTGCAGCACCTGAGTGAAGCTTGGCGGTGTTGGAAGGCAAATATTCCATGGAAGGTAGGCATTTGTTTCACTTTTACCGGCACTCTTAGGTACCAAACATGCCGATGCCCATTGAGAATATGATCCTCCGTTATGTCAAAGCCAAAGCTGACTGGTGGACTAATACGGCGCACTACAACCGTGAACGTATTCGTCGGGGAGCGACCGTTGACAAGACTGTGTGCAAAAAGAACTTGGGCCGCCTCACTCGTCTGTATCTGAAGGCTGAGCAGGAGCGACAACACAACTATTTGAAGGATGGTCCATACATTACTGCCGAAGAGGCAGTTGCAATATACACTACTACAGTCCATTGGCTGGAAAGCCGACGTTTTTCGCCTATCCCGTTCCCCCCGTTAAGTTACAAGCATGACACAAAATTGCTCATCCTTGCCCTTGAACGACTCCGAGAGTCGTACAGCGTTAAAAACCGCCTGAACCAGTCTCAACGGGAGGAGCTTGGACTGATTGAGCAAGCTTATGATAACCCTCACGAGGCACTCAGTCGCATTAAACGTCATCTCCTAACACAGCGTGCATTCAAGGAAGTAGGCATCGAATTCATGGACCTGTACAGTCATCTGGTACCCGTGTATGACGTGGAGCCGCTGGAAAAAATAACTGATGCCTACTTAGATCAGTATCTCTGGTATGAAGCTGACAAGCGACGCCTATTTCCGCCATGGATTAAGCCTGCTGATTCGGAACCGCCTCCACTTCTGGTTTACAAGTGGTGCCAAGGTGTAAATAACCTAAAGGTAAGTTGACGGACCCCAATTTCAGTTTTCCATCCTATATGAACTTCAAAAGTGTTAGTTATATCCTACTGTTCCCAAATTAAGTAATTTGCGGCTCAGTTTAGTAGCAGTGGCCTTAATTACGTAAGGATTGACAAAGCAAATCCGACAGTAACACGAATTGTGCTTATGATCTGGTGACAAGCATTCCTTTTTTGTATAGGACGTGTGGGAGACTGCCGATGGTGAATGCAATGTCCTTTTGGAGACGCGCTTTGAGAAGGTTTACGAGAAAGTCGATTTGAATCTGCTCAATCGCCTTCTTCGTCTAATTGTTGACCACAACATTGCAGACTACATGACGACGAAAAATAATGTTGTGATCAATTATAAAGACATGAACCACACGAACAGCTATGGCATTATCCGTGGACTTCAGTTCGCATCGTTCATCATGCAGTACTATGGCCTCGTTCTCGACCTCCTTGTACTCGGCTTGGAAAGAGCATCGGAAATTGCCGGTCCAACGCAGATGCCCAACGACTTTTTACAATACCAGGTTTGTTGGCAGCTTTGTGAAGCTTTGGCGCTTTTTTGGATTGCTTGGTAATACTACTATTGACCTATTAACGCCTTGCTAAACTTCATGAGGTTAGGAGGATTTGCTTAGCCGAAATCCACCAAATGCATTTTTATTTTGTCATTACTTCGAACCCTGTTGGTGGCTCCATTTGTAAGTCCGTACCATCTCCGTGGCCACGTTATGTAGCTGTCCAAGGTCAATGAAAGTATTTATACTATCTTTCCACCAGTTTAGAAAAGAAAGCAAACGCCAGCTGCTGTTTAAACTTTCCACTGTGGTTATAACGTTTTAATTGTTTATCTGTAAGTCCCTAGCCGACTGAGTCATATTTTTCGCATTTCCGACCCCTTTCTACCCCTAGTTCTGTTTGTCTGAACTGACCCTCAGCTGGCATTAAAGTAACGTAAATATAATGGGTCCTGTCTCGCCTCTTACCGCCTTTGGTCCACATAAGTTTCTCGAAATAATTTACAAGAATTCACCACATCAGGGACCAGAGGCAAAGTTAGGCATAATACAGCGCTAAATTCAGTGATAAGGTCCCATTTGTACTTAGTAGATCCGTAGATGCACTTTGCACAGCATTAAACAATTGATGAACAAGTGTGCGGCTAGCTGCCTTAATTCGATTAGCCAATAACAGGCCTCTGTCAATCTTTATGTTGTTGTTTGCGGCGAAAGTGACGTGGTGGTGACACTAATGTTATCGCTGATATCGGTGATGATGTTGATTGCGTTGATGACTACGGCGCTGACGATAAAAATGGCGTATGCTTTTGTCGCCTTTTCATATTATAAATATTTCCTGACTTTCCTCTTCCTTCTTAGGACACTGCCACCGAAATTGCACACCCCATTCGACTGTACACGCGCTACATTGAGCGCTTTTGGATGTTCTTCCGTTTCACGGCCGAGGAAGCCCGCGACCTCATTCAGCGCTACCTCACCGAACATCCGGACCCCAACAACGAAAACATTGTTGGCTACAACAACAAAAAGTGCTGGCCTCGTGACAGTCGGATGCGTCTGATGAAACATGACGTGAACCTTGGAAGGGCTGTATTCTGGGACATCAAAAATCGTCTGCCGCGCTCTGTGACCACAATTGACTGGGAAAGCTCATTTGTTTCTGTGTACTCCAAGGACAATCCCAATTTGCTGTTCGCCATGTGCGGCTTCGAATGTCGCATTTTGCCCGCCTGCCGAATGCCAAGTCAGGCCTCCACTGCAAATCTACCCAGTGGTGTGTGGCATCTGCAAAACGAAGTGAGCACTACTTTTTCTCACCTAAGCTTAATTCACGTAACTACAAGGATGACGCAGTTATGGGTTCGGAGTGCTACTACTACTACTACTACTACTACTACTACCACCACCACCACCACCGAGTTCAATTATCAGCGTTTGTTAAGCCAGTTTTCTGCGATGGTCCTGCGTAAAAGTCATTTTACCAGAACTTTATGTCCTTCCTTCTAACAGGTGACAAAAGAGAGGACAGCTCAGTGCTACCTGCGAGTAGATGAAGAGTCTATGCAACGGTTCCACAACCGTGTCCGCCAAATTCTTATGGCCTCTGGTTCAACCACATTCACGAAGATAGTCAACAAGTGGAACACTGCCCTCATTGGCCTGATGACCTACTTCCGAGAGGCTGCAGTTTCAACCGAACCTCTTCTTGACTTGCTAGTGAAGTGCGAAAACAAGATTCAAACACGTATTAAGATCGGCCTTAATTCCAAGATGCCGGCTCGATTTCCTCCAGTTGTCTTCTACACACCAAAAGTAACTGACTTTGTTTTTTGTTACCTTGAACTATGCATAGGCATACTAGCTACCTATGACCGTTGTATCTAACGGTAGATGAGCAGGAGTTAGCCTAAATGGTATACTTTCTCTCAAACAGTGGTACTTTGCGTAGCTTTGCCTATTCTTGAGCTGACAAGAAGCATCACTACAGCTTCCGACTGTTCGTCGGGAGCCTCTGTAACAGACAACTGAACTAGACTTTGTTGACGTAATAAGCGTTATGGCCAAAGACTGTTATCGTTCTACCGCGCAACCTTTTTCCGTAAAAATCCACTGGTTCGGTACTCGTCGACAGGGTCGTATCCGATCGCCCATCCGCCTTAACTGCGTAATTGGCGAAGTTCTCGAAAGTCTATTAGGCGTTTTTGGCGCCGATGATGTCGACCTACTAATATCAGACCATGATGGCCTGCAGATTGTGGCATCTTGAGTCGATAATTTGCTAGAACAGCCTGTTTAGTCATCAATCCTGCGAAGACCACTATTTTGAGCTACATTTCTAGCTAGAAGATACTCCTCATCACCTGGTGAAAATCGCAAGCAGTTGATAGTCTGTGCTTTCATGTTTGCACAGAAACGCTGGATTTTGCCCTCTCGAAAGCGCATAGTGTATCCCAGTATATTTTAGAATAACAGGAAACGTATTTCGAAACCTCTATGCCGGACAGTAAGTAGGTGTCAGATGTGTCATTCAGGCTAATCGATGCATAAAAAGTATTCGGCCTACATTCCTTCCGCTTATCTTCTGTGCTTGTGGTTTTGAATCTACTGCACTTTAACATAATTTCTGTGACCTGTTCTAGGAAGCGATACACAAACCGTTTTTAGGAGTTGAAGGTCTGCACAGTCCCTGTTTGACTTTATTGTTTTTCTTACTTGTTCGACTCAAAGTGTGTTCTCAGACTCATAACACTACCTGTTTCAGGAACTTGGTGGTTTGGGCATGCTGAGCATGGGTCATGTTTTGATCCCACAATCAGATCTTCGGTGGTCTAAACAAACCGATGTTGGTATCACTCACTTCCGCTCTGGCATGAGTCACAACGAGGATCAAGTTATCCCAAATATATATTCCTACACCCTGACTTGGGAGACCGAGTTCCGCGACTCACAAAGCGTCTGGGCCGAGTACTCACTGAAACGGCAAGAAGCCAATGCTCAAAATAGGTAAGCTTCTATCATGCATGCTCCTGCGTAAGAGGCCACTTTTATTCAAAACTTTATGACTTCTGAAATCTCTTACGTCTTACTTCTACAGACGACTCACTCTGGAGGATCTAGAGGATAGTTGGGATCGTGGTATTCCACGCATCAATACCCTATTTCAGAAGGACCGGCACACTCTGGCCTACGACAAGGGCTGGCGTGTACGCACTGAATTCAAGCAATACCAAGTTCTCAAACAAAATCCCTTCTGGTGGACTCACCAGCGTCACGACGGAAAATTATGGAATTTAAATAACTATCGAACTGACATGATCCAGGCCCTGGGTGGTGTTGAGGGCATCCTTGAGCACACCCTTTTCAAAGGCACATACTTCCCAACCTGGGAGGGCTTGTTCTGGTGAGTGATCAGTCTACTCTTCTATCGTACTGTCTTTCCCGTCATCAGCATCGTCACTACTGTCCCTGTCTATTATCGCAATCCCTCCCGCCACCACTTCTAAGTAGCGAGCCTTGGCTGTGAGGTGGACGCTGTTTTCAAACAACAGAAGTTGCCACTCACAGTGTCCCTGTGTCGTCAAACTTCAAGAGTTCATAAAACTGCTTAGTGGACTCACCTTAAGAGGGCAACCGTCCCTTAAAGTGTCTTTATTTTAGAATTCTTGCTGACAAAGCAAAGTGGATAGCAGTGGCCTATTTCAGCGTACTTATCGCCTTCACCTAACAATACCCCCAACCGGTAGCTCAGTAGTAGTGCGCTCATCTAAGGACTTGCGAGCCCGAGTTCAAAGCTCAGATCTTACCAGCCTGGGGTCGGGGCATGACTGGCTGGAGACACTAAACAGGCCTGAATCGGCCATCAGTTCCCGTTGTTTCGTCAGTAGCAAATCACGCCTATTTGGTGCTAATTTCCACGCGTCTACCTGCCAAGGCTCTAGAATTGATGCAAAAATATGACATTGTTCTAACGTAAGCTCGTCGCTAAAAGCGTTATGTATGGTTCAGCTCTGCCGAAACGTATCCTCGCACGTACACATCAGCGACATCTTCATGCAGTTAACTGACAGCTTTTCGAAGTGCGACGCATTCGAATAACGTCGCGCCTTTCCTACCTTCGCCATGGCTGAGACTCGAAACCTAAAATTCTGCGAAATTGGCGCTAGCCTACGAGGGTTTCACTGGTGGAAAGACGGTCCCCAATTGTGGCTGTTCAGACGTTTTTGCCGCAGCTTTTTGCAGATTTCATGGAAAGTTTAAAAGTCAACTGCATATGTTCTCCTTACTAAGGCGGCGGTCATCAGAATGCTGCAGATAAATTCATAGTACTGACAATACGTATGTCTGTGGAGTCGTTAAGCCAAAAAGACGGTAAAGGGATGAATTGACGCAAGGGGGGATACCATTTTTTCATCTCCCTGAGAGTCATGGAAGTTAAGCATTACCAGCTTGGTGTTGACCTTGGTCACTTTACGAACACATAACCAAATATGCTTCCTTTAGTTACGCTCTTGAACAGATGGTGCCTTCTTGCACCTGCGGAATGCGCCGACACTACCATGCCATTTTCATGCGCAGTTGTCTGTGTAGGTTTGCGCGCGTTCCCCATCGTCAGTCAAGCGATTTCAATCAGGCTTATGTGCTCCGCTGCTACCCGACTAGAAGTAGGGGAAGGGCAGTAACTAAGCGTTCGTTTTGGAGAAGCAGTCGGACTCTTCTTGGAGTCATAATATTGATAAAAGTTGTTCTTTAACTGCCCTCAGTATATTGCGCGTTCGCGATCAGTGATCATTTTTCGTTAGTGGTGCAGGCGCAGAAGTCACCACAAAGACGTTATAGGAGTCAGGTTCGTAGAATTTCGTCACCTTTCTTATCACTACCGTCCTCATGCTAAAGTTTCGGGTAGGTGAAAAAGAGACGACTAAATCGTCGCGTCCCTTTCAAACTAACCACTTCTTTAACTGGTTATTGGAGCCAAGTCCAACACAGGGTAATAGGACCCTGTTGGCCCTTTGGAGCCTCTAAGTCTCCCATTGCAGGCTTTCTTCCTGAGCCTTGTAGCCATCACCTTGTTGTTTGTCCACCTTACTGGGGTGTGTTAATTACCTTTGCATACACACACTCTCTGTGTGACCGTCTATAAAGCCAATCATACGAATGGGAACAAGGCCTCGGCGGAGAATTATTCTCCATCTTGTCTCAGTCACACGCCTTGGGCAATGTTGCCTGCCCCTTCTACACCACCGAACGCGCCCTCCCACCCTAGCATGTGAATTTTGCTTAAAACCAACTTGGTTTCTACATTCTCTTTGGTGACGATGGCTTTTTCGTATCCTCTTTTAGGGAGAAGGCCAGCGGCTTTGAAGAGTCCATGAAATACAAGAAGCTGACTAATGCTCAAAGATCTGGTCTTAATCAAATTCCCAACCGTCGGTTCACCCTCTGGTGGTCGCCTACCATTAACCGTGCCAACGTAAGCCAAGCCCTTTGGGCGATTCCCGATCCCACGTACTCTGATTAAGCAAAGTCTATCAAGCTAACTTCTAAGTGACATAAGTGACTTAACTTCCTTACCAACAGAGACAAGTACATGAATCAACTGTCCAAAGTACTGTGTCAAGGTCGTACGTTACAGGTTTATGTGGTTTCGCTACCAAACCCCAAGGTTTCGAGATTTGCTATGATTCTCTTGGTGTCGAGCAACTTACTGTTCTTCTCGGTTCAAATCACCGTGTTTCCCACCGTGAAACATCTCCTACGCCATATTCTGTTTGCTTATCCCCTTCAGGTGTACGTCGGCTTCCAGGTGCAGTTGGATCTCACAGGCATCTTCATGCATGGAAAGATCCCCACCTTGAAGATTTCCCTTATCCAGATTTTCCGAGCTCACTTGTGGCAAAAGATCCACGAGTCTGTGGTTATGGATTTGTGCCAGGTCTTCGATCAAGAACTGGATGCACTAGAAATTGAGACTGTGCAGAAAGAGACTATTCATCCGCGTAAATCCTACAAGATGAACTCTAGCTGCGCTGATATCCTGCTTTTCGCGTCGTACAAATGGCCGGTCTCCCGTCCCAGCCTTCTTGCCGATTCAAAGTAAGCATACTTACGTGCCTTAAATTTAAATCTTTTAAAGTTAACACCGTGTTCTTACATTGAGCTGCTTTCATGAGTCAGTAGGTTCCTTATACTTTGTTGTTTTAGATATTTGGGTTGAAATTTCACTTGATGCCAATCTCAAACATGACATCTGTAGACACTGCGGGTATGTCATGGTTCCTAGAAGCATGGGGTGCTGTTGTGTTAGATCTAAACGAAGCTAAAGACACAAGGGAGCTCAGAAAAGATAGTCGCGGCAACGTTTGACCTGGCCCCGTTGTAATTCTGGTATGTCATGAAGAAGGAAAAGACAGAGGCCGATCCTACACAACCGCCCTCATTGTGATACAGCGGAGTTTCCTTTAAATTGCCGTGATGTTCTAGTAATTGTGACTTTGAAGACTGCTCGTTGACTGGATAATTCGGTACTGTGGACTGAGTGAGAGGTTAAAATGACCCCCTAACATGATCTTATGAGGCGATTATTGGTGTGAAATCTAAGCGACCGAATTCTGGCCATGTCATTTTGGGGGACTGGCAATTATTTTGACAGGGACGAGCGCATGGTCAGCCGCTGCGTCCCAATCGATTTTCGGCCGTCTTGTTTTTAACTTGCCATTGAAATGCTCAGGCGCTAGTTGTCCCTGTCTGCCAACTAAATGGCAGCGAACTGTAAAACCAGCGAATTCCCCTATTCGGGGGATCAGCTGTGCTGTTTGGGTGTCATCGCTTCCAGCGTCAGGGTACATCCACTGCGAGGTTTCCCTATAATCTTCTTTGACCCTCGGCCTTGGTAACTACGTGAACCTTGATTAATTTTCGCTCACTCTCTGGCCGCTAATGATGGTGAAGGTTAGTGCGGAGCTTAGATCCCTCTACAGGGCTCACAAGCCGTTTCACTTTGTGTTGGCAGCCTTAATAAATAAGTAAGCCTTGAGAACAAAATATACACACAAAAAATTAGCTCTGGGACGGCTGAGAATCAGTGGTGAATGTGTTAATCAGCTTTCTTATCGATATCTGTTTGAACTAACCGACGCGTACTTCTTCAGGGATGTCATGGATGGTACGACAACACAGAAGTTCTGGATTGACGTGCAACTGCGATGGGGCGACTTTGACTCCCACGATATCGAACGATACTGTCGAGCGAAGTTCCTGGACTACACCACCGACAACATGTCAATTTACCCATCCCCAACTGGCGTTATGATTGCCATTGATCTTGCCTACAACTTGCACAGGTGAGTGCTAACCATAACCTTACAGTTAAAATTCGCGTTGAATATGGCCACGGATTAAGTATATTTTTTTCTTCGACATGGTGATTAAATTTAGTCTACGCCATCAGTTGTTTTGGTTTTCCTGTACTTTCCGTTGATAGCTCTGTACATTACGAATCATTGGAAGTGCTTGTTTGCTTTCGTTATAGAAAAGTCTGTGATCAGGGATTTTTAGTGCATATCTAGACAAACTTTCCACTTACTTCATTTATACGTTTAAAACGCTCGTTTACAGTCCCATTGCTTAGATTCTTTTATTCGTTTACTCCTTTAGCGCTTACGGCAACTGGTTCCCCGGCTGCAAACCGTTGATTCAACAGGCTATGGTGAAGATCATGAAAGCCAACCCCGCGCTCTATGTTCTGCGTGAGCGTATTCGAAAGGCTCTCCAGCTGTACTCCAGCGAACCCACAGAACCCTATTTGAGTTCTCAGAACTACAACGAGCTCTTCTCAAACCAGATAATTTGGTTTGTGGATGATACAAACGTCTACCGTGTGACCATCCACAAGGTGCTCCTCCCTGACTGTGCTCCATCCTAACGCGAAATGTTTGATAATACACATCCCGTATTTTCTTTATAAATCACTGATCCCAGGACTGGGCACTAGAGTGCCTCAACGGGTTAGATCTTGGAATTTTGACTGCCTCTCATATATAACCCTTCAGACTGAAACTGTTTTTGCTTGCATGCTAGACCTTTGAAGGCAATCTCACAACCAAACCCATCAACGGTGCCATCTTCATCTTCAACCCGCGTACGGGTCAACTGTTCCTGAAGATTATCCATACTTCCGTTTGGGCTGGCCAGAAGCGGTTGGGTCAACTGGCAAAGTGGAAAACCGCTGAGGAGGTGGCTGCTCTCATTCGTTCACTTCCAGTGGAGGAACAACCGAAACAAATTATTGTCACCCGAAAGGGTATGCTGGACCCATTGGAGGTCCACTTGCTCGATTTCCCGAACATTGTCATTAAAGTAAGTTCTGAGTCCTAGCATCTGGTTTTTCGTCTTCAAATCCTCTACGCCTTTCCGTTATACTACCGGTTAAAACTGCCTCATTGTAATCTCTTTGGGGAAAACTTTCCTTGATTTATAAGGCGGTTATTGATGGTGCTGCGTTTAGATGCCTTTCCAGCGGATAACATCGGTATTGTCAAGCATGGTGTCCAGGCGCAACCAACGATGCTCTTGTATCAACTATTTTCCATCTGACGTCTCACCCTCAGCCTCATGCTTTCATCCATTTCTTCCTCATACCTGCGATCTCACCTGTTTCTACGCTTTACACGCTAGTGCCTTAGGCCAGCGTGCCTCAAGATGGCCTCTACTTGCCAGTAATCGTGGTGGGTCGGGTGCCGACCACGCGTAGATAGGGCGGACTTCCCTCGAATAAGGTCCTTTGATGCGTTTCAGCCAGTCTGGAACGCTTGTATCATCCATCCTTGCCAGTCTTTCAGATCTTGCCACACCTTGGGAATTCGTCAGCTGCCATCGGAACCCATGGTGCGCTCATGGCTTTGTGCGTGTTGGCCCAGCGGTGACTCGGGCTACAAAAATTCCACACGGCCATTCTCGTGTGCAACTCGCGAGACCACTGACTGCCCATAAGTAGTGTGATCGACCACGACCACAATCTGGCTCTGCACTTGCTTCGGCTGTCGACGGCCCACTCCTGTTTTCTACTACCAACCAGGGGATCTGCTTTCGACCGTCCTCTTTTTGTTTGATTTTATAACGGTCTCCTTTCCGCTCACTGGGTTTTGCTTTTTGGTCAACTTCAAACGTGACAATTTTAAGCTAACCGCATGTTTTCCTGTTTGTCATAGGGTTCAGAATTGCAACTACCCTTCCAGGCCTGTCTGAAGGTTGAGAAGTTTGGTGATCTCATCCTCAAGGCAACTGAGCCCCAGATGGTCCTCTTCAACCTCTACGATGATTGGCTCAAGACGATCAGCTCCTACACTGCCTTCTCACGCCTTATTCTCATTCTTCGTGCTTTGCATGTAAACAACGACAAGGCGAAGGTCATCCTAAAGCCGGACAAGACTACTATCACAGAGCCGCATCACATCTGGCCGACCCTGACGCCTGATGAATGGATAAAAGTGGAATACCAATTGAAAGACCTAATCCTAGCGGATTACGGAAAGAAAAATAAGTACGTTTTCCATCCATTCAACCATTCTCAATTACCTTTGGAATTACACTGGTGTGCATACACCCAGAGACTATCTGCTGGAGAAACCGATGAAATTTCGGCTTTACGGTGCTGCTGGGTCGCGCGTGTAAATTCACTGTCATCAAGTGCACTGTCTATATGAGCACCGGTTTGTGTTCTGTGATGGGCCTTTTTGGGGGATGTTGGTTAGCTGAAGTTGGCACACGAATGAACCCAAAACGACCACTGCCTCAGTCCCTTCTGTCAGCCAACACTTAGCATTGCTTTTCTTGAAGTAAAATGAAGCATACACCTGGATTTTCCTGCTTACTCACTACCTGCGATTGATTTGCCTACATTATAGCTTAGCTTCTAGCATGAAGCTCCTACCAAGAGATGACTGAACTGCCTTTCCACCGACATTCTGTCTCTTTTTGTTCTTTTAAGCTAATCTTTCGCGCACTGGCCGATTTCACAGCACCAACCAACACAAGTGGATGTAACGTAAAATAGCCGACGAGGTGCCTAACTGTATTTTCGCGGTTTCTTCACTTATCATTCGATTTAAGAATAACCCCCCTCCCCACAAAGTTCTTGGTAACCAGACCATGCCACCTTCGAGCTTCGTTCGCCATGGTGTTTCTGAGCTGTTGCTATATCATGTCCTTGTTTTTGGTTGTCTTTAGCGTTAACGTGGCATCGCTCACCCAGTCCGAGATTCGGGACATTATCCTGGGCATGGAGATTTCTGCGCCCTCTCAGCAGCGCCAGCAAATTGCTGAAATTGAGAAACAGGCCAAGGAGCAGTCACAACTCACCGCCACCACGACAAAAACTGTAAATAAACACGGAGACGAAATTATCTCCACGACGACCTCAAACTACGAGACGCAGCATTTCAGCAGTAAAACTGAGTGGCGAGTGCGAGCCATTTCGGCAACTAACCTCTACCTCCGTACCAATAACATTTACGTCAGTTCTGACGACATTAAAGAAAATGGGTATACCTACATTCTGCCCAAAAACGTCCTCAAAAAGTTCATCACCATCTCTGATCTTCGGGCCCAGGTGCGGTTCGTCTGCTCTTCTGACTATTTTGTTTTGTCATCCATTTTCGTCCCGTGTTTGCTCATTGGGAGGAATCACAAGTTTTACTGGCACCCTTGACAGTTTGTGGACCTAAGTACTGATATATCTTGCTCCTCGACAACCTGGTTCAACACAGCCGCCGAAACAGGTTGACGCAGGTAGTTTGGCAGTTTCGTTAGATGAAGACCTTGTGTGAGTGTGACTTGATTTTATCCCGTATCCCTATTTCACATCTTTCGATCTCACATCGTAACAGTTCATTAGTCTCGTTATCCTCGTTCAGGCTTTCCTGTCCGCTTGTGAGCTATCGTTAAACACTCGACGGCAGTCCAAACCTGCCCCAATCTGACGGACCATTTGGATCTTGGCTCTCCTGCTTCTCACCAGACTATACTTTCTGTTGTGTTTTTGGCTATCTGGTAGTCTTGATTAATTTAAGCTGACTTACATTAATGCCAATTTAATTGTTCGTAGTTTATGAGACTCGATCGTTGAAATTTGCCCTTTTACTTTTATCAGTAGTTTGTTGTTTGCGCTTCCAGACTTTCATGACGATTCTGTTTATGGGTATTTTCATGTCGCCTGGTTTGGCCAACCTGGATTTCGAATTATGTGGACCCATTTGAACCGGGAGGTCACGCAACCGGCAAACTTTTGCTCCGGAACGGGGTTGAACCCTGTGATCTACTGGTTGAGCTGTCACTTTTGCCGGTCCTGCGAATTAATCGACATTCTTCCTGACCAGCAAGACAGACCCACTTTTGCCTGAGCGGCTGTTCGGTCGAGCTGCAATGCCTCCAAGTCTTGAATTACAGTACATGGGTCAATGGCAGTGTCATTTGGTGGATCTCGGAAATGGTTGAGCAGTAGCGAACAACCTGTCTCGTTCGTGTCACATAAAAAGGGCTATTTTATTCAAATTCCGAAAACGAAAAAAAACAGTTGTTCATCGTTGCAAGTGTGATTTAATGTGCAGTCCTGTTTATTTTTTATCCCCAGATTGGCGGCTTCTTGTACGGCATTTCGCCACCCGACAACAATCAGATCAAGGAGATTAGGTGCATCGTTATGCCACCCCAGTGGGGCACCCACCAGACTGTTCATTTGCCCAACGGCCTGCCACAGGATGAGTATCTACGAGAGCTGGAGCCTCTCGGCTGGATTCATACCCAACCGAATGAACTGCCGCAGCTTTCGCCCCAGGTAAGTCAGCGCTGTCCGGATGATTTATCCATTTCTCTGAGTGCCCATCTGTAGTTGCGGCCCAGTAATATGGCGGCAGTTTGACAGTTGCGAATCGACCGCGCACCCCGCGGAGTGGGCGCAGCATCGGTGACTTGCGCAACATACACCACACTCTCTCCCTTACCCACAAGGCTCCGATGGCAAAACGACGCCAGGACGACAGGAAGTGGGTTCGGGCGCAGTGACTGAAAAGGCTAAACAGCTCATCTAAGTGTGCCACATACGATCTGGTCCCCGTAGCATGCACCAAACCTTTGAGGGAACGACTCGGATCTCACATAAGTGAGACTTCAGACTTCCCAACGTTTTGTTATGGCAATTTTCCTACCGTACGGCCTAGACCGCGCGAATTAATTTCCAACTCTTGGTCCAGAAATGCAGTCCTTTTAATAGGTGATCTCTTTAGAGGACTTTAAACTGTAGGCTAGTCACTTCTCAGGCAAGCGGTGGATTCGTCTCGACTACTCGAGGTGGCACATATACCTTACAACTTGCTAAGAAAAAATTCATACCACATTGTTGCACTTGTACTAAAAAAATGCCTTCTATCCAGGATGTAACCACACATGCAAGGCTGTTTGCGGAGCACGATGGAGAACGAACAATTGTGATTACATGCAGTTTCACACCGGGCTCCGTTTCCCTGTGCGCCTACAAACTCACCCCCGGTGGCTATGAGTGGGGTCGCCAGAATACAGACAAGGGAAACAACCCGAAGGGATACTTGCCGAGCCACTACGAACGAGTACAAATGCTGCTTTCTGACCGATTCCTGGGCTTCTTCATGGTGCCCTCACTGGGTTCTTGGAATTACAATTTTATGGGTACGTTCAGTCTGTCTTATTAAACGTTTTGAGTGCCTGCCTGTGGCGCTCAATATCTCGCATTAGTGAGCTACAAGGCTACGAAGCAACTAGCAGCAGTCTTCTAGGGTGCGGGCAGTGTAGGTTTGGTGCTCCAACTATTACATAGAATATCCTAAGACCTAACGGCGGTCCTGCGGCTCGGCGACCGTGAACCGCCATATAAATACGCCCTTATGCCATTGTTGACTTGCGGTCCAGTTTCAAAGGCCAAGCGATAGCGGAAACAACCCTGAACGAACAAACAAGTCGACTGCTTGAACTCATATTTAACGCAAATCCCCAGAAGTGTGTGGAACAAATATTAGGCGACTCTGTGACGATCCACACTGCGGTCTGTACCTGTACACGACACGCCCCCCCGAATGTGCGAACGTTCTTTGTTCCCGGAAGCCTACGTCCGACAGCGCGCAGCATCCACCGATACCATGCCTGCGGTCTGTCCGAAGTTCGAATACGAGCAGTAAAGACTACCAGGGTGAGTTGTTTTTTTCCTCCACCACCGATCCTCGCCGCACTTCCAGTAGACACTATGTCGTGAACGTCTCCAGAGAGGATAGACCAGATAATGCTTCATGTGGACCCAGTAAACGATCGGCCAGCGTAAGCGTGCCCGTCGTTTTTGTCTATGCCCCAACACGAGCTGCCGACCAGCGGTTATAAGTGTTATGGATAAAGCAGCAGGTTTACCCTGACCACCATAATTGTTGGACCGAATCCCAGTTAGCTGGGAGACATCAACGTGACGGGGTCTATTCTGAACAGAAACTCCAGCGGGTGTCTCAGATAGTAATGACTTCTAGCGAGACCAGAGCATGTGCTGAGTGTCGAGTCCAACCATAAACGTCAGGATGGGTAGGATTATTGTTCGGGTCTGCCTCTCCTCAAGTGTTAACTACTACCTAAGAGGGCATGAGTCCATGCTGTCCGCTGATTCTAAAGATTCGTGGGAGTGGTATATGCATTACCAGAGGGATGGGCATCTCTTGTTTGGTTGATTTCGGGTGTGTCCAGGGTAATTGTTGGTCGACGGACGGTTCGAGATGGCGTGAGGCGACTTTGTCACGGGAGAACCAGAAGCAGAAGTGAGTGACCTTGACCGTGCGGTGCGCGCTTACTCAAGTGTTGGAGGGTAGGCAGTACCATGGTGACAGTCGCCACAGTTGCAATACAGTTTGAAAACTTTCTCCCTATGACCAGTGCCTGGATTGGACCAGACATTTCTTCAGACATCCATCTAACTTCCCGTTCTGAACTGACTTCATTTCAGTGAGTCCAAGGCTCCATAGCTGTGTTATTAACGAGCCGACACGTTGCACTGAATTCGGCGACTGTTTCTGTTAAGATGCTATCCCGCGCATGCGCCTGCATACTCCCCATCTGCACTCAAAGTGCTTCGTTGGCTCACGACGGCCTCTGAAAGCAGAAGTCTACTTCCTACTCTACAGCTCGAATGTTGGCCTGTGTGCGATTCAAAACTGGGCCACCCAGCTACCTGAAGGCAATCCTCCGAGTTAAGCATAGAATTGAATAAGATGATCCGCGCACCTTGTGGTAACATCGCTAGTCCTCCAAGCCATCTAAGAAATATGGCTGGGATGGTACTGACACGTCCTTCGTTGTGTGTTCCATGTGTTCACGGTTGCCGCCCTAAATCGAAAGCTCCCGCACCTCGAGCCAACGAAGAGGCCAGGGCATCGTCCGACTCGGCACGGCACGTCAAAACCGACGTGGTATTTAGCCCTTCAATATTCGCATTTTGCTGTTGGAGCCAAGAGTGGGTTCAGTCCTCAGATCCACTGTCACAGATTGTTCGGCATTTTTGAGGCCAACTTAATTAGACATGGTAAGTGATGTAAGCCATTTGTCAGCTAGTGGACGATACTGACTGCGTTTTGAACTTTCGGGAACCTATATCAGTACTGGCGACAACTACCTGTCCGGGAACTTACCACTAAGCTAAAAATTGCTGTCTTTTTTCGGTCCTGTAGGGCCAGTGGCCACATATATTGCGGCCACTTCATTTTGACACTTCGCTACTTTTTAATTGAAAGTGTCGGCCTGTCTAATTGTCTGGAATTTTGCGATTCACACCTACTACTTTGCCATGTCTACATGTCTACATCTACCATGTCATGCATTAGTTCCCAGCATTCTGTAACACGGCGTATAAATGGACTATCAGGAGTTCACCGGCCTTCTTGAAAAATAATAATCTACCTCTGGTCTCCCACTGGGGACCGTAGTCTAGGACGCCAAGTCATTGATGTCCTCGTTTAGGGCATGCGGTAGCCCAAGCTGGACGAGAAAAAGGTGGCTCTTCAGTTTATCATACACGCCGTTTCATTGAATTGAAGTGTGAAAACGTCAATTTTAGGTGTTCGCCACGACCCGAATATGAAGTACGAGCTGCAGCCGCTCAAGCCCAAAAAGTTCTACCACCGTGTTCACCGTCCTTCGCACTTCCTGAATTTCACCACCATAGAAGAAAACGAAGCATTTTCTGCTGATCGTGAAAATCCTCTGGCGTAACCTTTCATACTTTGGGCCTCGGCCTTGTTCATACAAGTTTCCCCTCCCCCAAACCATTGTAAGTTTTCACAAAAACTGTATTTTCCACATCCTTATTTTAAGCTATCCGTCCTTGTTCTTAAATTGAGTCCTCACTGAATGATGCCGTCCCATGTTCTGAGGAAAAGTAAGCCATATACGAAGGCAAGGCGGACGGTGGCTCAATCGGCGGCCGCATAAAACCCACCCGTATGTCCACCATGGGTTGCTGTGATCGTTTCTGCCAGTCGGCTTCATTTTACAGGGTAGCCGTGTCTCACCGAATCGTACTCTATCTCACAGGGCCGGTGAAAAACCCCCACGCGAAGTTTGACAAATTACTACTGGAAAACAACTAATAACGTTAATTATAGGCTGTCGGCTCGGAAAGACGCTCAAGACCCACATTCGCCGCGTCCATCCGTCTTTTCTTTAGTTGGTTACCTAGCCTGTTGAGATTGGGCAAAATAAATTCTAGGAAACTAGCTGTGAAGTCAGCGAAGAAGGGGTGCGCATCAAACCTAGTATACGGCCACTTTTTGTGGACGCGGCCGAAGGAACAAGTTCGGAGGAGGATGCAAAGGCGGTTAGGTGCCTAAAGATGGCATGTATACCATGATCGCCAGTTACAGAAAGATCGCACTGAAACTGATGATTTGTTTCCACTAACCACAACGAGACCCGAGCGTCTTCATAATTGGAAATTAACGTCCCTAGGGTTAGCTTGTGTGCCCGATTCCGGACCCTGGCGGGTTATGGAACTAACCTTTCATCATCCCTCATAGTAAAAAGTCTTCTGAGTTCGCGTAAGCGAACTAGCGGCAGCTTTAAATGATTAGTGGTGTGGACGAGTGTTTTTCTAGGTCATTAGCCAAGGTGCTGTGAAATTCCCACCGAGAAGCCGTGAGCGCCCTCTCCGACTGAAGTAACTATCGATACTTGGCGGTCGGTTTTCAAATGTGCATAGGCAGTGATTAGATAAGTAATACGAAGTTTGTGCCGGAAAGTCTAACGGTCACATTTGAGCTAGAAGGGGGACTTGCCACAGTGTGGGAGATAGTGGGAAGATACGCTGATTAAGCATTTTTATTGGAAGATTCGATGACTCAAATTCAGGACTCGATATTCGAGACGGCAAGCCCATACGAAATAGGCGCTGAACAGACTGAAAAGTAAATTAAATGGCCGGGAAGGTGAAGTAGGAACTCAGGTTGCATCGGCTGGCTATCATCTATCAATGTGGTCGGGAAGGACGGAGCTCAGTGGGATACTTTCTTCGGGTGCGATAATGTAGGTATTCGCCAGGTCCTCTTCTTCCTGTTTCTTCAAGAACTCGTGCTCGCGAATGTAAAGGTCAAACTTTGGTTCAGTCACACCCATCAGGGAAGCGCACTTTTCGCCCATCCAGTCAGACACGGTAGTCACCATTTTCGAGGCCTTGCTTGCTTGTTTCCACAGCCAGGAGGGCCACGTGAGAGCTTCAGAGTCTTGCTACTTTTCAAATGAGAAAGTAGGTTTCGATTTAAAGGAATTTATGTTGGATAAAGGTATGAGGTTTCTAAATACCAACAAACTCACTTGTTGGATCTCAACAGTTGGACTGACGGCATCATCGTCCTCTGAGTACTCGGTGATAGTACCATCACTACAATGAATGACGCGCTTCGGTTGTTTCTCCGATATGCTGGATTCGCTCATGCTTAAAAATAGGCCACAAACTAAGAAAATACACAGATAGACAAGAAGTAGAAAGTAAATAGTGCTGGGTCACGCTTTCATCTTCTCTACTGTTGGGTCCAGTCCAAGTTTACTTTGTGACTAATAATGAGTCTTAATGCCCGCTAGGTGTACAGGGTTGAATGGGTTCAACTAGTTGGGGCATCACTGAATGGTGACAGAGATGGATTATGATACAACTGGGCATGAAAGCAAATTTTAAGGTCACAGCAGAGGGCTAACAATGCGGATAAACGCAAGAGGCGATTCTCCTTTTTTCTGCACTCAAAATAAGTTTTCTGGGGTGGTAGGCTGTCTAATAACTTCAATCCAGGATGAGGGGTGGTAAAATAGCAGAAAAAGGAAGAAAGATATCGATAGACAAGTGTTGTCGGTCGATATTGGGTCGCAGAATGATGGACAATCCTTGCCTAACGTTGTGGAGAATGGACTCTTAGAAACCAGCTCCAGCATATAGTATGTCCCCTCTGTTCAGTTGGGGGTTAGGTAACGTAATGTCACTACTTAGAAGGACGTAAGCTATTTCCAGGAACTAGGTTCACGAAATACTCAACTAAGACTCTTAGCTGACAACGCAAACGGGTGTAGGGTGTGGTGCGAGTAGATGGCCCTTCGACTCAGGTTGTAATCGGAGCAGTCTTATTCAAGTGCGAAACTCTACCTGCATGCTCGGTTATCAAAAATTATATCGTCGCAAGGTCTTGTGGAGGAGACTGGGAACTTCCACAGTCAAATAGCTGAGTTGCAACACAATGTAGGCCATTTTTGTAAAATTGAACGAGACATTACGCAAAACCGATGGAGTTTTATACGGTAACTATTGTTCCGAGAACAAAAGTGCATCGAAAAATCGAAAAACCTTGAAACCGGAGTCAACAGCTGTTGATGCACTCGCTCATATCTGACAATTAGTTTAAAGTTCCAGTTAAGGGAGAATCTAACATTCAAAATTCGAGGACTGAAGGATAATGTAACGTCTTTGTAATTACAGGTACTTAAATAGCTATACGGAACGGGAGTCCTTAGTGGGAGCCTAGGAGGAGGAAAAAGGGCGAGGCAGAAGGTATAATCGTGGATGCCAAGGTTGGGAGAGCCTGGATCTATAAGTTTAAGCAGGACCGATAACAGAAGAATAATGTGCATGATAACCAAAATCACTTAAAGGCCAAATACGAAGATAAACGAATAAAAGGGATGAACGGGGAGCAGTATTCGGCGGAAGGCGGGACAGGTATAATAAAGCTGAAACAGAATATAAGCAGCGCTTAGTCAGAGGCGAGTGTGTAGGACTCATCTAGAAATCTAGAGGATCTCGGGTACCTTATGGCCTTTCTGCTAGAATCTGCACAATCATTAACTCCACGCAATGTAATGCCCAACAGAAACCTAAAAAAGACAATGTGGGACGAGGAAATTGGTAGGTAGCACCAGCCAAAATGTGCGACAAAAGCACTGATACTTCCAGCACGGGACGCTACGGACCGGAAATAAAGGTGTGGATAACGAAATGACGACGGAAGGTGGAGAAGACGGCTTAAAACGGAGCGGGAGAGTGGTAAGACTAGTAAACAGTGGAAAAATAGCGTAACGCACGGATAATGTGAAAATTAGCAAACAGCTTTGCCCATTTCAGTGATATCGGTGTCAGCATCACATGAAGGGGAATTAGAATGTAAAACTGTCGTGAGGACGTTTAACCTATTCTGCAGACCCATAGGTTTGCTATTTTTGCGCGCTACGCTATACCACTGTTGGTCGGTCTAACTTCCATAAGAAATCAAGGTTTCTTAAATAATTTGCATATGGAAGCTTCGACATTTTCTAAATAGCGCGCTTTAAGGTGTGATAGCACGATGCGAACTCTGGGAAAGTCATTCCACGCCGACTATCCCATTAAATTATATCTACACGTTGCCACCTCTGCTGAAGCGTGGCGGCTGGAACCCATTTAGTCTGTTGAATTTAAGTTACAAACTGCGCGAGCAAGCTTAGTTTCCGGGTTCTGAAACCTTTATAGAAATCCCATGTAACGCATGAAGTACAGAGACCACATCTGTGTGGCCGAAAGAGCGTAGTGCATATCAGTGTCTCAATGAGGTGGTAAACTAGCCTATGAGCGAACAAAAACAGTATCAGAGGTTTGGCGGAATCTACTAAACAGTGTGCTGATGGGGCTATAGTGACAGCAGCAATAACTCATATATCGATGCCTGATCACCTTTGTGGAATTTCTTCATCACCTGATGCTGTGCGTAAGTCTAGGGCGGACTCTGACTTACATATGAGGAACTGCAAGTTATGCGCATCCACGGCGACATCCTATCCTTCTAGAAAATGCCGGCATATTCTCGACACTCATACCAGGAAAGTGTCCACACGATGGTTCGTTGGGATACTCAGGTGGAGTGATTCCGGGAACTGTCAGTCAGTGTCATGATTACGAACGGTCTACGAATGTCAAGTGTTAAGTGACAGAACTAGCACGTTGTCAGTGCGGGCGTACATGAAAGCGGTATAGATGTGGCGGGGACAACGGGTGTGGGCGCAAAAGCAACATAACAAGTTTTATCGAGTCTTCCAATCACCACCACAGCTTTGGGAACAGATAGGCTGGAGATCAATGGGCACAGCCTCATACAGTACGGTTTTGAACGAACTGTTAGTTTCAGTCGTTTCAGAGTCTGACGTGCTTTGCCTTGGCCTTTGCTATCTATCTACCAATCTACTCCTTGTATTTTTTGCATTTAACTATTTTCATGTTCCTAAGATAGTCTACGAGATCAATTAGAGGGCGCATTGTGCAACAAGTTAAGGAAAGACATCTGAAAGTGATGGAGAATGGAGGGTAAAGGTCACCTTAATGCCGTCGTTAAATTCGTTATTTTTAACGCCAGAGTCAGAATCCGAGTGCCCCGTGGTCAACGACGAGCGGGAATACCACATACCTACGGATAATCTTAACGACGCAAGTGTGCGAGGCTTACGTATGTTCAGCGTGACTACAGAAAATACAGAATTTGAGGATGAAATGCTGACCGTGAGGGAGAAGGTGGGGGTGAGGGCTGTCAACCCACGCACACCGCACTGTTACCTGCAGGCCCCGCTTCACATACTTAGAATCTTCGTAAAAGACATGCCTTTAGATCCGAGAACGCCGTAAGGGACAACGACAATCTGAAGTGCAGCCCTAATATCATGGGGGCAGTAAGTCCACCTTGGCATTGGACGTCCATTGATAAATATACTCTCACTTTATGTAGGTATTTTAAATAATGCATCGGAGTTCGTGGTGAGCATTTATATAGTCGTGAGTTAAAAGGGGAATTTTGGCCAATCTAAGGCGAAATTATAAAACCTGTTAGATGCGGCGCATTTGGTGTGGGGAGCTAGTGTGGTCTGCCAAAGCAAGACGACAGTACTAGCCTCGAACTGGAGGGCGCATGCATAATCGATCTCGAATAGGGACACGACACCTCCTAACGTGAGTGCCTTAATATGGCATTCGACTTCACCCACGCATAGCGTACTCGATGCGTGCCTGCGAACGAAAACTCCATGGGGCGAGATGTGGGACGAAACTGGCGGACATGTGAAGGGGACTAACCGTCGATCCGGCGCTACGCGCGCAATCGATGCTTGTGTGCGTGCGTGTGTGAAATGCCCTCGAGGCTAGGGCGCTGGTTGAGCGCTATATGAACTTATCAGCCTCCCCAAATCGCGAAAGAATTTCTGCGAAGACTGCTGAAATGATTCAGCTGATCGTAAGACTAGCCCATGACCGGGCGATCGGGCTAGCCCTGGTCGGTTGCGATGCTATCAGGGGATCCCCCGATATGATGTTGATTTTAGCCAAACTGTATAGTGCTAGGTATTTTTCACTGAAACTTTATTTATTTCTTAGCCATTTGTGCTTTGATGTGGGTTGTTTTTTTCTGATTAGGATCGTAAACCGGTGCTTAATGTACCTGCACTTGGAGCAAGCTTCTGCAGATATTTGTCTTTACCGGGCCGATTCCAGTCTAGTTAAACCTCAAATAGTTTTCTGTATTTCTTTTGTTTCTCTGAATTCGGTCACATACTTTTGTTTTGATTTCTTTCCGTGTTCAGTAATTACTGCGAGAATGTGTAGTGACTAACTTGAGATTGTGTACTCCGAACTCCACGATCGTCAGGCCCAATCCCAATTTGGAGGAAATGACAGAACACACCGGAATGAAATTTTTTTTGTAGACAGAACCCTACGTTGTCCTCTCAGGTAGCACTGGCCGCTGGCGAAGCCAGAGTTGATGTTGACTGCATCCAGTCATGTCTGAGAGTCCCCGAATGGGTAGTGGCAGCTTCTGTTGTAGGTTTGTGGGGCAGTCCAGATGGGTGTCCAGTTGGTATGTTGCATTCGCCGAGGGGTGGTGTTTAAGTGACTTATGTTGTGGTTGCAGGGCAGGAGCGTTCAAATGGCTGCCTGAGAAGCTGAGACTGTGCAGACGCAGCTTTGTCCGATCTGGAGTCGGTCGAGTGGCTTCAGGTCAGGGCGTCTGGAAAGGTTCGCCGCAAGGGTTGAATGACCTGAAGAAGCGAGTCCTTGAGCAATGACTTCAGGCTGGTTGTTATAGTTGCCCGCAACAAATAATTATGATTAGCCCTTCCATAAGTGGCTTATCTAGATCTCCTCCGTGAAATTGCATTCCTACAGCATACTTTGAATTTCTTCAAAAGTGTTTCTCACTCAGGTGTTGGTATATTCACGCACACGTAGAGTTTTTGATAAATGTGATTTTTCTGTCCTAAGTTATTTTCAAAGTGCTTCTTAACTCTGAATTCCTGTGTCGTCTTTGATTAGGGCAACTAACGTCAGAGTCTTGAGCTTTATTGGCCGCTGAAAATACAATTACCGCCAGTGTGCGGCGCGCATTTAACGATTCCAACCAAATTTTGCGGGTCGGATGGGTCAAACCGAGATAGATTGGGAGAGCTGGCACCGACAAAGTAGACTAGCATTGGAAGAAAGCAGTAATTTTATTAGCTGGGACAAAGTTAGTATGTAATTACAGAGATCAATGGAGAAAGGTGTTACAAATGCGGAAATAGGACAATTGGTATTGCGGCCGCAGGAAGTGCAGTAACTGTCTCGGTTTTTCGGTTGGTTTTTATGGAGAAGTCCTTCGAAGACCAGCTGGAGTTTGAAATGTGTCAAGACAACCGGGAGTTTCAAACGGGTCGAGAAACCGCCGTAATTGAAACCGTTGCATTTTCCGTCAAGGATGTAAGACGTGTCTCTAGTCAAATAAAACTAGATAAGTCTCCTGAACCCGATGGGAGTCCTGAGCTGATACTTAAGGAGCTCTCAACGGACATTTCGATGTCTCTTTCGGCTTTCTGAGCTGTCAATGAGAATAGGGAGGCTGCCATCCCAGGGGAAGACAGCCTACCTCGTTCCTTAGATAAGAGTGGTAGCAGGATGATAGTGAGCAGTTTCAGGCCTATAAGCTTAACTTGGCTCTCATGCAAAACGATGAAAGCTCTGGTAAAGAGTGTTACACAGCGATTTTGTGAAGAAAATAACATTTTGCAGGATTTTTACTATGGGTTCCTGAAAGGACGTTCATCCATTTAGAATCTGCAAACTTGACTGGAGATCCGGACCAGGGCTTTGGAAGAGGATTTTGTGGTCGATTTAGTGTACATCAATTTTAGCGAAGCATTTGACGCTGTCTCGCACCGACGCCTCTTCTTGAATTTAGTGCCACCAGTATCCAGGGAGACCATGTGAACTAAGTAAGGGTGTTTCTGGTTGGGCGGAAACAACCTGTCTGTATCGGAGATTAAATAAGTAAATAAGACAAGTAAATTTTATTCAAGACCCTTGGGGGTCCGGTGAAAGAATGTAAGATGTGATTTTTATATGAATTTTAGAACAAGTGGAAGGAATATAAGCAATACTTAATCCATGGTTTTTGAATAATTAATCTGTTATTAGGAATGATTAGCGAGCAATAGACGTGAGTTGCGGTCGTTCCCAGGCCTTGGTTCTAGGACCCTTGCACTTCATCCTCAGTACTTACGACAGCCTTCAGGAACTCGACTGCGGTAAAATATGTTTGCGGACAATGTTAGGCTCTGGTAAGTCATTAAGAGTCCAAATGACCAGAGAACACTTCAAAACAATCTGCACCGACTGCAAGCGTGAGTCACGAAATGGCTTCTAGATTTCAATGTACAGATGTGCGCCGTCATCCACCTGCGTCCGGCCAACAGACATTCATATGAGAGCCTGGGGAAAGTCGGCAGTATCTGTGCAGAAGTAGCTCGGTGTTTGGTTACAGAGCAACAAGACTGAAAACTCCACAAGAGTGCTCTATGCGATCAAAGAGGCGTTTGTAACCTTTGAAAAAGTTCTTTTTGGGAGTGTTTAAGGTAAATATTTTTAGCGTCATCCGGAATGTAGGATACGACCATGAAGGCCATAGCTAACAAATGACAAAACATGTTTCGAAAGAGTACAACGGCGTGCAACGATCCTGGCGAACGGTTTAAAACGCCAGGCCTACATAGAGAGGCTGAATTGCCTAAATTTATTCCGCCTGTGTTACAGGCAGAAAAGAGGTGAGTATAGCCTGGTTTACAAGGTAATGCGTGGCCTTGAGCATGGACTTTGAGGACATGTTTCAGTGGCACTTTTCCCCCGGTCATCGTGGCCACTCGATGAAGCTACGGACAAAAATGTCCAGACTGAAGCTTCGTTCTGAATTTTCACACTATGTGTAGTGGAGAAATAGAACAATCCCTCTCCATCAGTCGTGGAGGCGACGTCCCTGCAACTCTTCAAGAAACGCCTGGACGATGGTCTGTGTCCCCTGTTTTCCCTCGACAGTTTGAACCTGAGCTAAATAACTCGCGATCCCGGGAATTTTTCTTGAAACACTGTTGCTCAAATGAATCAAGTACTGTTTTAATAGCGAAGATTTTTATTGTACGTGTACAGTTGTATGTAACGTACTCACATGTAATCAATAGGGTCTTCAAAAGCCTTGGCTTTTGCCCTTTCGAAATAAACTGAAATCCTGTCGACGAATGAGCCAATTCAGTTCCATTTCTTGTTGTACTTTTTCAGGCGCACTGGGCAAAAACATTAAAATTCCTATGCTACATATCGGTATGTAGTAAGTTGCTATACACGGACCCAGGATAAATTGTCACTGTTAATATTTTATTCGCATGATTAAAATAGCCTTAACTTGAATCTAATTTTTATGTTGATTTGGTGTAACCCTTAGATCAGATTTAGTTTTTATTGGAAAACAAGACAGTCATAGAGTCGCCTAGGTGTTTCGCAACTGAGTTGGGGAGATCATAAAATCTTATACTTTCTCTTGTACAAAAAATTCTGACAAAAGTTTAAACCTGGACAAATGCGTACGTAGTTTTAATGGGTGCCCATAAGAGAGGTCCAACCGGAACATGTCCTCAAAGGAAGTCCTTGCACTGTCTTAAGACAAAGATACTTTCCATATATTCTATCTGTTACGGAAAGAAAACAGATTAATGCACCTCAGTTTTTCCAGGCAAGATTTATGTCCTTAAGCCTTTATTAGATTTGCAGTCCAACGCTGCACTTTTGAAAGTTTTACTTTGACCCTTGCGAGCCGCTGTCATCACGCTTTAGACCATATTTTAAGTTGAGACGGATGAGTGTCATACACTTTCCAAAGTAAGCAATCACGGAGAGCTACACAAGTTTTTTCGGTAACATACAGCACCCATATTGCGTCTGTAGAAACGTTCTTACAAGAGCCGGACTGGATGTCCTTTTTGAGTTCTCCCAATCCTTCGAAGGCACCTGGTTTGTCTAGTCCGAGAGACTGTTCCGTACCATCCGATTCATTTTCCATCGAACGAGTCTGCATTTGATGAAATTAATTTCCTCCAATTTATGGTACGATGTTGAGTCCTGTAGAATTCCTTGTTAGCTGAGTCAGTCGTCTAAGCCAAAACATATTTCGGTGTATATACGGTATTATTGATAGAATGAGGTAATAATAAAAAACGAAAATCCTCAAAAATGGATAACCTAGACAAATAATTCCTTTGTTAATGTTCGAGCAAATCGAATTCCGACCTTAAGATCAGAATACAGAAACTACTTAATTAAAAGAACGCCGATCACGCTCGAAAGAGGGTTCCAAAAAGGGGGAAGGGGGATGTCAGAAGGGGCCAAATGTGCAAGCACTTGTGAAGAGGGCGTGGAGAATTCCAAACGCTAAGCAACTGGATAAAACACTAGCCCTGGTACAAATTAGTGGTGGTGGCGTCTCGCGAGTCTTTATATATTTGACTTGGTTTTAAGCATGTTTCAGATATGAAGTTTACATTGCTCACCGTTGGATAGGGATACACACAGATCTTTGATGTACGGGTGAGGAAAATGCTTAATTTATTTTCTGAGCTGTCTGTCAGCCTGTCGTCGTCGCGAAGTCACATATAACCATCAGATTTGAGCAAAGGGATTATTGGAGCTGCCTGTGCCGTGTGCTGCACTGGCTTGATACTGTCTGCTTTCTATGGGCGACCCAGTTCTTCTTTGACCTTCGGTTAAGCTGCATAAGGAATTGGACGAAATTTGAAGAAACGGGGCTCAAGTCCAATCAAAACTGGAATATCACTCGTGGACCAAGACAGCATGTGGTGAAATCGTAACTAAATTGTTTTTTACGATTTATCCACGAGGAATCTAGAACCGGGTTCAGACTGGTCCCATTTATATGAGATAGGACGGAAGGCACACAAATAACCCAGTCCCTACGGGGGATATCTGGGTTGGCTCCATCTGACCACGCGGACACACAATTAATACAGTTATCCATCCTGTTCAAATTCGGCCGTAAAGAACTCTTGAAATTCTTCGCTCTACCCAGTGTATCTTTAAAAAGTTGAGTCAGCCGGAAAGAGGCGAGGGCGTTCTGAAGAGAGACCTGGTTGATATGAGTAACAGCTGAGCCAGCGTCTATTTCAATCTTCGCGAAATGGCCATCAACCGAAAGAGTAACGGTGTAGACATATTGAAGCGGAGTGTCGGCTAAAAACATTTTGAATGTCGTCTTGCCTTCCGCAATTGGACTAGGACAGCTGAAATGCGTGCTGCTTTTCCTCCGGCCTTTGGAGAAGCATACTTACTCGATGTGGCCCATTTTCTCGCAAACCCCATAAACTGTCTTCTGGCATTTACAGTTTAATGGACGGATATGGTGTTAAAGACCATAAGAGCGGCAGAATGGCAGTTGTTTTGAAGGAACTGATGATTGCCGTTTAGGTGAAAGCCCAGCAGTGTTAACTTGGGAGACCGACAAATTACTATGCACGGATGATATTGCACCAGAAATTTACCTATACAGCCGCTGAAATTGTGTCGTACGCTCTCTTTATGACGGGGAATCTCACAGACGTTCTCCCGTGACAATTCCATCTCCTCCGATAAGGGGTTTTCAGAGATTTTCCAACGCGAAGGCTGACTCAATTGTCGAATAAGCATTGCATGTTGGAACTTGTCTCCCTTTATCTCCTTATACCCGCAGTCCTGTATGATGAGTGTCAGATTCCCAATAAACCCGAAAATGTTTTGTCTGGATTCCTTGAACATTCGACAAGATCACAGTTGATCAGGGTAAGGTTGTTTTTTGTCGCCTCAAGCCGATTCCAGCCTGGCCAATGTCGTTTAGAGATCAGAAGGCTCTTCCAACGTAAAAGAATTAAAGTACCGCAACCCCAACTGTTCGAGATTAGTCTGATGGAGTTTTGCTTTGGAGGTAACGTCTAATGTTCTTGTGGCGAACACATTTGGGATCGTTCAATATGACCCTCAAAAGTCTTCCTCCATTGCGATAAAGAGTCAATTGCGGATTTCGGAGCGTTTTTCGTTGGAAGGACAACCGTGTGAACAAAGGTGGAAAGTGGTGTCCCACAGGGTTCTGTCTAAGGCCAAGTGCTCTTCCTGATCTATGTTAATGACTGCATCAGCGATCTAGATTGTGAGGCTCTCATGTTTGATGATGACTTAAAATATGGAGTGAAGTCAAGTGCAAGGATGAAAAGAAGGTCCAGAAGGCAATTAGTACTATATACCGGATTAGACATACATTTGAGATATTCCCTCTCCAACTCTTCGAAGGACTTTTGGCGTCTTTGCTAGACCCCACCTTGAATATGAAATGCCAACACCTTCACCATGGATGAGGAAGGATATTGACTTACTCGAACAGGTGCAACGCAGAGCAACGAAGATGGTCGACGGGCTAAAGCATTTATTTTTCCAGGAGAGGCTGAACGCGCTTGGCTTATTTCCTCTCTCCCTTATAGGCAGGTAAATTGCAGTCTACTTGGGACATTCCGCATTGTACGCAGCCAAGGTTGCTCACTAAGCAGGGAGAAGTTTTTCAGTTTGCCCATAGAAACAAATTACGCGTTCATCCTTACAATATCACGCGTGAACGCACGCGGCTGGACGGTAGGAAGTTTTCATTCAACCAGCGGGTTGTCAGACCATGGAACTGGCTACGAAGCGAGATCGTGACGGTTGACACAATTGGCATGTGTAAAAGGAAAGTTGCTCGTTTGATTTTCGACAGAAACCGGCTTTTACAACATGACTACTCACAGCCAACTCTGTAAAACACTTTTCATATACAACCTTCCCGTGCTGACTCGCAGTGAGAATGTGTGTGTCCCTGTCATTAATATTGTGATGTGACCCAATCACACTGTAAATGTCTGCAACTGTATTGTGAGTGCGAATCTGCGAAAGCATTGCACATGAATAGAGTCATCAATGGCTCCGCCTCTAACCCTTCAAATGCATATATACATATATGCATAGGTTCTTCCTCCATGAAAGTCACCTAATGGACGTCAAATAAAATGATATATTTATTTATGCTTGTATATTGTATTCGAAATTCGGCCGTACGAGTGTTCCGAAGACCTTGCAGAAAATGTCTTCATCGCAATGATGGCGTGCAATAGGGGCATTGCACTTTTGCCACTTTCGAGCATTGAGGAGATGACTGTAACGAACGCAGCCATGTAAAGAGGCATGGCTCTCTTTGCCTCCAACTGAGCAAACTTCAGGCAGACCATCAACACGGATAAAACAGTGGTTCCGCACCAGCCCCGCCCAATAGCGAGTTTAATGACCGTCACATCACAGCCAATGGCACCGACATCCAAACAGTCGAGAAATTTGTTTATATTGGTTGCATGCCTTCAGGGCAGGACCGAAATTGACGATTAAGTTGCGCTCTGGATCTCCAAAGCCAGGCGGGCTGTTGGTCGGCTGAGAGCTTCCGTGTGGAATCGACTTTGCATTCATTTTAAATTGAACTGAGGATGAAAAAAGCTGTAATCCTGACAACACTACTGCAGGCAGCGGCGACCTGGGTACTCTACGAGAAACAGGCGAGGAAACTCAACCGTTACCATCTCAGCTGCCTCCGAAAATTACTGAAGCGGAGATTCATTGATATTTTGGCAGATTTTAAATAATTCATGTTGACCCAACTGTGAAAAACTCGGCGCCTCGGTGGGATTCGAACCCACGCAGTAAGGGGGAAGGCTTTAGTACAGCCAACGTTGCAGTAGGTTGGGCGGGTAACTTGACCCAAGTGTGATAAAACTCGCGTCGTCCGGCGGGGCCTCGTAGCTCAGGTGGTTAGAGCGTTGGCTGTACTAAAGCCTTCCCCCTTACTGCGTGGGTTCGAATCCCACCGAGGCGCCGAGTTTTTCACAGTTGGGTCAACATGAAGCGGAGATGTCAAAAAAAAATTCCAGACAAGAAGTCCTTGAAAGAACCGGAATCCCCTGCACTCACGCTCTGCTGAGGAAAATTCATTTGCGCTGGTGCAATCAAATCATGAGAATGGACGACAAACACCTGTCACAGCGACCCTGCCGAGGCGATGTCGGTACGGGTACTCGCCGATGAGGGGGACAAGTGAAACTAAAAGGACACTCTGAATAACTGTCCTAACCACCTACCGAAACGGTTCGCAAGAATTAAGCGCCTCCGATCCACAGGGCCAATACCCAAACCCCTTTTAATATGCCCAAGCTGCCAACAAACATTCCGCTCATGAATCGGCCTCATCGGACATCTCTGGACCCAATGCAACAATTACAGGACACCTCCACCTGCTGATTCCATGAACGTCTCCATTGTCACACCTACACCAAACTCCATTGCGTCTACAACAACCGCCACTGTTGCCACCGGTATTCACACCCCTAATGCCCCGACACCTCAACAGACGTCGTTAACTCCCACCATGTCTATTACCTTTGCCACAAAACCAGCGAAGATAATTAGCTCCTCTTCTTGTCCGACCACCGGTGAAAACGCTCCCGACGCCCCGTCAACCACTTCTCTCATCACCACCGCGACCCACCACTTACTGTGTGGACTCGACCCCAAACTGTCCTTCTGCGATCGCACCACCACTTTATGCATCACTGTGATCGATTACTTGTAAATTCATCGCATGGAGACCGACGTACTGTCGCCAGGAGAAACAGAATATATTTTCCGCATCCGCCTTTGCTTTGCGCAATGCTTACGAACATTTATTCATCGCAGGGGCCTATTTTGCGAAAACGTATCCAAGACAGCGGCATTCATCACAACGTCGACCTGTCAAAAATGTCTTGCGTACCCGACAACTCTCCCACCTCCAGTAATGCAATCTCCCCTCCACCGAAACCGCCACCATGGGCAGCATCGCTACCACAACCGACTCAGCAGTTTCCAATCTATCATACCTACGTTGCCACCGCATATGCACGTCAAGCATCGGTGTGATCGGTCACTTGCGGATCAGTCCCATGAACCCTAGCGAACCAGTGCCAG